GCTACGTTGGTCGCAGAAAATTACAGGCCTTCACATGGTGGCTTGTACAAGATTGACTGAGTACCATTCGGTGATCCCATCCCCCCACATCCCAAAACGATCTGCGCTTCATTCCTTTTCTTTTACCTAAGAGGTATATAAAAGTGTACGATGACCAGCACAGAACATTTTCGCGAACCCTGTCAGCTGGGGTTGTTTCTGCCCGCTGCAGAGAGGGGGATACTGTCATTTAATTCATGCCGATGACGTGCCCTGGACACTCCAAAAAAATTTCATTAATCACTATGTTAAGAAGGGTCAAGAAATGTAACGAACTTTGGCTCTTGCCGAGAGATAACTCACCTATGGGTGCGAAGTTCCTCCTATATGTGAACCAAAATCGCGACGTGACATACTTCTTCAGCGGTTCAAGCCCTGAAAACTGCTGGATTGACAGATTTTTCAAAACAACACAATCACTTTTTGATCACTACTCAATGTTGTCGATCACTCTCTCAAACCGGCGGATGTTTTCTGGTGTCTTAGAGATGTTTTCAAATAATTGCAGTAAACCAAAATTTAGTCCTAGTACCCAAGCAAGCATGAATAAAGTGGCTAGAAGCAATGCCCATAATGAACAGTGTCCCGAAAAAAATTAGCATGAATACCAGCCAGAACACATAGCAAAAGCAAGAACGTGTTAACGAGTAGGAAAGGGGAAATTTCCAAGGAAGGAAAGTTGATATGCACAAATTCCCTCGAAGTTCAGAAGGGGTTACGAGGAAACGGTAAGGCTCCAGACAGATGCTGTGTCGAAGCTTAGCTGCGTTCATACTTCGCGACTCAGCTTTCTGGAAAGATCAGCGTTTTGAGCGAAAAAGGAACTGGCTCGGTCTGGAATCGGTTTGGCGTTCTTGGAGAATAAGTGTTTTTAGCGGAAACGGTAGCGTAGGTATCGACCAATGTCAGTCGTTAGCGTCTTGGAAGAGTCAGCGTATTGGCGAATCGACGTTTTGGGCGTCGTTCCATAGCTATGCCTTCCTTTTTCGCTCTAGACACTGGTTCTTTCGAAACGCTCAGAACACTGACTCTCTCAGAACGCCTAAGTCTCAAAGAATGAACCCATCCTCATGTGGCAAGAATCTCTCCAGAAAAGACACCAACAGGAAATTGAGCATTAAGGCGCGATCTTTCTTGCTACAACGTTTGCCTCTACCTTATCCTAACTAGAAAGATCCTGAATTCCCAAAGGAGAGTTGCGTGATAGTAAGAGAGGACATCGATTATATCAAAATGATTCTTGTGCTGATGTAGCAAAGGTATGCATAAACTGGGTCAAAGTAGGTTCTCCAGATAAGTACGAGGTTTTTACAGCATATAGAACTGAACGAGATGGTTAAAGACATTACTGTCAATTATAGAATACAGGTTTCCACGTCAGTAACGAGTTGCGTGACACATCGTTTCACAGCTGTTAATGGGTAGCGTATCTCTGCTACACCTGCGCTAAGGATTCGGTTTGGCTTCAAAATTATTAGTCAGAGGTCACGGCTTAGACGATGAATGTCTTAATTAATTATTTTCTGAATGTGTAGTAATGTGAAACTCCAAAAATTTATCCCAAAAAACTTTCGAGACTTTTGTGACTGTGACTTGGTGTCTTTCGAGTTTTTTGGAATAAATTTTGGAGTTTCACATTGTTACTACACATTCAGATAAGAAATGAGACTCCGGGACAGCACAATCCTCCGATGTCTAATTATTTTTCAATTATTCAAAGCCTTCTGGTAAATGCCCATGTTTTCCAACTGCTAGAACGCCGTCGCGGTGCCAGCTTATCTTACGACGTATGAACGAGCATTTTTTCGATAACGAACACGGCGCCTTGGTAACCAGATCCTAATTTCAGAAGCAAATTTAGCACTTTTTATATTTCATAACCAAGGGGGAGGGGGGAGGAAATCAAAGTGCTATCATGATTTTCGATAATTAAAGCACTAGAAGAGAAGGAATAACAACTGGTAAGAGCAAAAACTGGAGAAGATACGAGTACCTGCTCTTTTATTGAACTCTTTGCCGAGTACAACAACTTTATCAGTGGATTCGAAGAGTGTGTTGTCTTGTAATTCCCAGAATGAGGGTTCGAATGTGAGGTACGAGTCCACCATGGTCGAGCCTCACAGAAAGTTAGACACCTGAAACAAAGAAAGTTGAGAAAAAGGAAAAGGAAAGGGTCAGCATTCTCTAATATCTTCGAAGAACGCGGAATTCCATTCATATCCATTTGTGGTCATTGAGACATTTAATTGGGAGAGCCCGTTCATCCGGAATGGTCATAGTGGTGTTATACGCTCGCGATCCGACGGCTTGAGTCGGCGCGACCGGATCACTAAGTGCGCTTCATATACCAGAGATGGAGAGCCCGTGGCTGCACACTTCATTTAAACGCGGGGAAAATGCGCTCCCGGAGGGATATTGCAGGTCCCAGAACAGTTGCAACCGTGACTTTGTTCACTACAAGAAAGAACAATACTTGCATCGATATGCTTGCATCAATAAATATGCTAATAGCCACGAGCAACCGGCATACCTGGCCCCTCGTTGCCCCCCTCCCACATTATTCAATAAATAACGTAGGCATGGCGCATCATTCGTGCTGGAGCTGCCGTGTATGAAGGCATGTATGCTCACTCAGATCGATCGTGCTTTGAATGAATGCTCCTAGAGGGAATCGTTAGATGACTAGTAATCTAGAGGGATCAGTTAGAGTTGCTCTTTAGTATGTGAGGACTCCTCCATGGACTCGATGCTCCTCTGCCATATCCGTGTACTGATTGTTTTATATACAGATTATGATCGTTGCTGCTGGGGATGCTGTGGGAGCGGCTCTTTTCGCACCCCAACTCTATGCATGTCACAGTCTTAGTATCTTGACATGTCGAGGAGGTTTCTCATTCTGACTGAAGTGTACTCTCAGTATCTCGGAGATGGAAAGAGGCGTGGTTGTGGAATTCCAATTTGACAACACGTAATGATGCGTCTCCGTGGTATAACTTTAAGAATGGCAACTATCATCCCTCGCTCTTGTCCCTGGACACAGCACATAGACAACATCCATCAAATGAGTCTCGCAATACTACTTCAAACTGTGCAAATTGTAGCACATAGAGCACCCATAAGGGCGAATGATCATGCCGGGAGACCTGACGCACTTCGCTTGCAGAACAGCTTCCTGAGAAACTCAGAGCTTGAAAAGATTAATCATTTCTGTTTTTATATATTAGTGTTCTTACTATCTTTTAGAAGAGGCTATTGTCGACAAACTGACCATGGAAGGACAATAGGTTTTGGATAGTTTCTAGGGATTCGACCTCATGAAAATAGTAAGGCGATGAAATACACCGATTTGCACCTTTGCAATTAATTTATCTCTACGCTATTTACGCAATGATTTCTAGCTGACTGCGCTTTTCAAAAGTGTTACGGCAAGCATCCGAGAATTACAGTACCATGGACCAATAAGAATTCATTTATGTAAGAGCTTAATGAGTCAATATTTAGATTTTTGAAGCATTTCTTCGGGACAACTTCCAGTGTTCTGACAACATTCTTCTATGAAAGCTGGAGCGACTTCTGACCGCCAACTACAAGCATTTCCACCCCTGTGAAGCAGAACATCCTAAATAAAAAGCGAGAAAAAGTTCTGGGGTGGGGAAGAGGGGAGGCTGACCCTGACTTAACAGTACCGGCATCAGGTACAGTGAATAATTTTAAGATTTTTTGTGTTGTTATCGACATAAGAGCATGTGCAATAGAATCGATGAAAAGGCACATATCACAAGACTGAAATAGTTTAAAAATTCAGATAAACAGCTGATAACGAGTGGCGCTTCCTGTGAATGCGGTCACGTCGCGTTCGTCGAACTAGAGCGCGTCAAGCTTCATTTTCCGGACCAATAATTATGGAGGACAGACGATAAGGAGAAAGATTAGTTCGAGGGTAAAACCGGTGGCGGTGACGTAACTTGAGGGGAGGGAATCACTCAGCCGCCTTAATCTTCCCCAGAAAAGCCCAGGCTTAGAGCGCACACGACCAGAGTCGCCGAGGGATAGCCTCGCAGAGAGTACACGATCCCCACTGAGATTAAGCTTTCATTGGGGAAGGGACACACAGAGATGCTGCCCCACCTCCTCTCAACCACGCTAGAGCAAAACCGGTTTTCTTTAATTGCTATTAACTTGGCCCCCATT